GATAGGGTTGACGAGCGTGTGGACGGCGATTTTATGCCCCGTGGTCGCTACGTTTTGAAGCGGTTGAGACACAGGGGTAGGCGGGATGACAGTATTGCGTCTCGTGTACGCAGACGTCGTGTCCACATTGCGATCGACACGGGGGCACGTGACATGCGGCAGGACCCGGTTGCCGTGTCAGAGGACGAGATGGGAGATCCTTCCAACGAGACGCAGCGCGACCCGGTTCATGCAGAGGAGCTAGCCTCGAACACTAATGTGATAGTGACGGAGGAGGATACAGGGTTCAGGATCACTCATCCTCGGTCGCCAGCGCCGGTTGTTGGCACTGAGGAGGAGACGGAGTTCGGAGGAACCGGTCCACTCCGCCAGGCGCAGACTCAGTGCACTCCAGCAGGCGCCCCAGTCCACTCCACAGGAGCGGGTTTGGAGGACTGCGAGGCACGACGTGAGCCGCCTCCTCACACGGGTGACGGCGGTCTAGAGGAGGGAGAGGTTGCACCCACTCCCACTTGTGGAAAGGACGGGGAGGACGAACGTCCTCCGACGGACCACCACGTCGGCCTCGACTGCCCGCCCGACAGTCTTCCGCCCATCGACGAGCTATTCACCATGGATTCCGCCTTGGCATCTCTGCCCGATATATCGCTACTGATATCTCCCACTTTGCCGGTTGTGGCACCACCGGAGCCTGCTAGACGAGATGATGCGCGTCGTGACAGAGGGTTCGACGAGTTCGGCGGCGACACGATACTGCATCCTCCAGAGTCCGGCACTTCCGCCATTTTTCATGTCAGTGCACCGTGGGCAGTGGAGCACGGGTTGGCGGAGGAGGTAGCACGGAACCGTCGTGGTGGACCGCACATCGCAGCTCAACGTAGTCTGAAAGGTTCACTAGAGGCAGCGTCTGGAGATTTTTTGGCGCAGGGGGGTCATGGTTCGCAGCTGTTATCGGACGGCGTGTCATCAGTCCATCCACCAGAGGAGGGCCCGCAGCGAGAGCCACATCGAGGCCCAGTGGAGACTTTAGAGGTGAGGCCTCCCGGAGTTATCCGCTTGGACGGAGGCAAGGGCGTGAGCGAGGATACAGCGCAGCCAGGGAGCGCAGATGGTGGACGGTCCTTCAGGGGGGGCATCGAGCGCAGAGGGTCATCGACCGCACACCCCATCATTGTCAGGCCCAACACACATGACGTTGGAGACGGGCACACAGATGAGCCTCGACCGCATTTGACGTGGATGCGTGACATCATGTGTCCACCACCCTCACGCCCCTCTGCCGCTGATCCTGCCGCCCACGGGCAGGCCCCGCCGAGCGCATTGCCTACGAGGTCTTTCTACGACGGTGCGGGCATGGACCGGAGGGCGGGCGATATCRGACAGACATCAGCATATGGACCGGTAGATGTGCCCGCGGGGGCGCGATCGATCGGCAACGTCGATGGCACTTGTCATGATTCCATGAGAGCTTACGAGGAGCAGCATGGGAGGCCTATACGGGCCAAGACGASCGATGTCAACGACACCAGGACGGCAACTGCGAGGCTGTCACGGGCGAGGAAGAAGGGAACAGGTGTGTCGATTCCGTATCATCGGCGCCGCCTGCATCCTTTTTTCCGCAACAGGGACGAGACCAGACAGATGCCAGCTGCCGCAGATGGACAGGGGGCGGCGGAGGGAGGTGACAGAGTGGACGAAGCAGGTCGARGTGAGAAGAGACGAGGCGGCACGATCATCCTCCACGACGACAGCTCCACAGCCGCTGAGGGCGGTGAGACCACAGGCGCCGACGATCCTGATGACTCCGATTACGTCCCGAGGATCCGTACGGCAGACGGAGATGACGGCGGAGGTCGTCGCGTGAGGATGAGGACTGGACCTGGCCCGGATTGTTATTGCACCCCAGCGGCACATTTGCCGCCTATTGATCAACGGGCGCAAGCTCGTTCTCTGTTGCGCAGACTGGGGGAGCAAAGACAGGCACGAGGGACATCACTGCCACATCAGCAGCCGGGGGGGGAATCCCGGAGACACGACGAAGACACGACGGAGAGAGAGAGAGAGAGAGAGAGAGAAAGAGAGAGAGAGAGAGAGAGAGAGAGAGAGAGA